TGAGTCCAATCTAGTAGTGAGACCCTGAATACCCTGTAGACCCTTCCCTAAGATAGAAAAAGATCAGTCACCAAGATCTTTCAACAGTGATCTTATTATAAATGAAAATATTCAGACTATTTTTCTTGTAATTTTTTTTTGTTTGAGAGTGCTACTTTGATGTGGTTTAACATGTAAGGGATATTAAAAAGTGTAATTATATATTTTTATTTTTTTCTACATATTTTCAGACATCATATATGGTTATGATATATAGAGGAATGTGGTACCTTTCCTGGCATCATAAAGGGTTTTTTTTTTTGTTTTGTTTTGTTTTTTTGGCAGAACCGGGGATTTAACTTAGGCCCTTGTACTTGCCAGGCAAGCACTTATTCTACTGAGCTATCTCTCCAGCCCCATAAAGGGTATTTTTAATGTTTTGAATTGTTAAGGTTTTACCATCAACATTGGATCATAAAAGTTTGGATCCACATTGAATACATATATTCTATGTAGTGACACCTGGGTTCACATACTTGATTCTTCCCAGGATTCTGGTTGCAGATGAAGTTGGATGAGAACTGAATCAAATTCAGTGGTTAGGTTCAGTGCTGACCTGATGGGGAAATTTGACTCTGTCCTTTTCCAGTTTGGTTTGTGATAAAAATTTTGGAGAGAATTGAGTTTTTGAACCAAGGTACCACTCTGTGTGTGTGTGTGTGTGTGTGTGTGTGTGTGTGTGTGTTTATATATTTATGTGTATATGACTAATACATGGTTTAACTGGGGGTCCTTCTGTCAGAAATCTGATGCACCAACATTAGAACTTCAGGAACCAGAAATATCTTTTGATATCTTTGAGGTTTGTTTGTTTGTTTCTTTTGGCACTGGAAATTGAACTCAGGATCTCATGCTTGCCAGGCATTTTTGTTATCTTTGAACAGCATCTTTCAGTGTGCGGGGATACACATGGAAATGTTTATGGATTAAATGATATGTCTAGAGTTGCCTTTTAAATAATCTATTGGAGGAAGAAGGATAAAGTGAATGGCATTAGAGATAAAGAAGTATTGTTTATTTTTATTTATTTATTTAAAATTTTATTTATTTATATTTGTGTGTGTTTTTTTTTGTGTGTGTGTGCGTGTGTGTGTGTGTATGGCCAGCTCAGCCCACCAGGGGGCGGGGCTGGCTGGCATGTGGTGCTGAGGGATTGAACCGTGGTCCCTGTGCTTTGCTAAGTTTGTTCTAAGTAGGTGCTTTAGACCACTGAGCCATCTCACCAGCCCCAGCAGTATTGTTTATAATGTGACTGATCACATTGAGTGATAGCTCTGTGAGGTCTCATTTTTTCTTTGATGTGTTTAAAATTTTTTATTGTAAAAGAAACAACACTTACTCCATTACACTACAAACAGCTGTGAAAAAAAAATCAAAAGCTTCCTCAGAACGTTGCATCTAACATAGAAGTGGAGAGGCTAGAGAAATCTGTATCTTAGTATAATATCTAGCTTAATAATATTAATGGTCTGTAGGAATTCTATAAGAGTTTAAGTATTGTGAAACCTTTTAAAAGGTATTTTGGGCCTTGATACTTTTCAGAATTTCTAGGCAGGACACAGCAAGTGACGAAGTGTCTGGGGATGAGCTCTTCTCTCCCATGTTAAGCGTCATGACTTGTGTGCTTTTCTCCATCTCAACTCTGTCTGCTAGTAGCTGAATAGTTATGAAATCGTGACTGGATGGATTTGTTGATGAAACCTGCACTGCCGTGATCCACCTTCCAGAACCTCTGAACTCAAGAGCCTTTTGTTTGTTTTTGGTGGCACTGGGATAGAATCTCAGGCCTTACTGGTTTTCAACCTTGGGTCTTAGGTTTATTGCAAAGAATTTTATTTCCATCTGTAGGTGAAATTGTAATCAGTAAAATAGAAATTCATTTAAACTTTCTTTTTAAAAGTTTTTTTCATTTATTTATTGGGTACAGGGTCTCACTACTCTGCTCGGACTTGTAGCAATCCTCCTGGCTGAGCCTCCCCTGCACTGGGATGACAGATGTCCACCACCATGCCTGGTTTTGGGGCCAACTGGGCAGGCCTGGGGTTAGTACAGTGTGTAGTACCAGGGCTCAAACCCAGATCCCTGTGCTTGCTAGGCAGGCGCTTAGACCGCCGAGCTATCTTCTTAGTTCTACAAATTCATTTTAAAGTGTTGCTAAAATAATCTGAACTGGGCCATATTTTCCTTGGTCATCATTCTTGAATTAAAGATATATCATATAACTGCATAGTTTTTTTGTTTTGTTTTGCTGTTGAGACAGGGCTTCGCTATGTAGTCCAGGCTGGCTTTGAATTTATTTCATATCCATATGCCAACTTCCTATGAAAAGGTACAGTTCTGCACAAATATGAGTGTCCAGGTCATTTTATTTATTGGGTACAGGTCCTCCTGCCTCAGCCTACTGAGTGCTTGCTGGGTTTACAGGCGAGCACTGACACCATGCTTGGCATACATAGTTTTTCAGATTGTCACGTAACATTTCTCATACTTGAAAATATTGAGAATCAGTGTAATAATATTATAACAACATTAAAAAGACTATGTAGGGGCTGGGGAGATAGCTCAGTAGAATAAGCACTTGCCTGGCAAGTGCAAGGGCCTGAGTTCAATCCCCGGTACTGGGGGGCAAAAAAAAAAGACTATGTAAAAATACAGGAAAATATATTGTCTTAATTTTGTATATTAGAACTCAAATCTTTTTTCTCTATGCTTTTGTCATTTTTCTTTGAAGTTTTTAATGAGCATATATAACTTTGTTGTTAAGGGGGAAATCAGCCAAAAATTGCCTCTTCCAGCTATATCTGAGGGCAAAGGTGGAAGCTGTTCAGTCTTGAACAAGAGCTCCCAAAGACGTACAAGGGGGTACATATAACCCCCTTTTCACCCTCTACTTCCCATTAGAACTTCTGTATTGCTAAACTCCTAGAGGAGCTCTAGGTTCTCCACTTAAGTTAGCATGACTTTGTCTAACTAATATATTGGGATTCCTTAGAAGATTTAACTGGAGAATGAGTTCTATTAAAACTAACAGAGACAGGTGGGAAATCTCTAATAGTGTCTGCTTAGTCAGTCAGACTGCTGTCAGGGCTCTGCAGTACCTGGATAAATACCTTCCCACTTACATTTAAAGAGTTGATTGTGACTGGCTGGTGCGACTCTGTCTCAAAAGGGTCTGGACTAGGGATGTAGTTTAGAGCTCAGTGCAAAGGCCCTGGGTTCAATTTAGCAGTACTGCTAAATAAATAAGTACCCTAAAAAAAAAAATAAATAAATAAATAAAATAAGTAAATATATATATGTGCAAAAATAATACTTGTATCGTGATTTCTTCCACCCCCCCCCCCCCCCGTTCTGTTACGATCTCTCCTCCTATTTTTTCTTCTGTGCTCCCTTTTCTTCCAGGGGTGTAACCTAGAGCCTCCAACATGCTAGGCAAGCACTAATACTACCACTGCAGCTGCATCCTCAGGTCCTTGTTAGTTCTTTTCCCTACTTTTTCTATATCTTCTACCCTTGTCCTTTTCTTCTTGGATTTAGTAGTAACTGGCTATTTATGGCCTCTCTCTGCAGGATTAATTTCACTCCTAATTTTCTTTCTGCTCTATTGCTATGATACTTAGCCCTTCTCCCCCCCCCCCACCTCTTACTGAGCTGTGCCCCTAGCACTTTTATTTTATTTTTTTTGCGGAACTGGGGATTGAACTCGGGCCTTTGCCAGGTGAGCACTTAATCTACTGAGCCATCTCCCCAGCCCCTTGACTTTTTAATTTTTTGAGACAGAGTTTTGCTAGCTACACTGCTAAAGTTTTCCCAGGTTGGACTTGATTTTGGGATCCTCCTGCCTTAACCTCTTTGAGTTGCTGGGATTACAGGTATATACCACACTGGGAAGATTCTAAAGTCAAGTCCAACCCAAGCAGGTTAGCACTTAGCACACCCTACCCAAAAAGCTCAAAAAATGATAGGGATATAGTTCACTATGAAAGTCTAGGCCTCAATTTCTCTTCCCCATCCTTGTCCTCCCACCCCCCACAAATCAGTTCTGGTGTTATCTACCCAGAAACAACATCAGTTGCCAGATCTGATCTCAGCAGCTCCATGAGACTGTGCTTTATTTTAAATGCTACTTGTAATCCCCAGGTTGTCACCTGTACTTTCAACTAACTGGTGATGGGATTTCCTTAAATCCCTTTGCATTAGATTGATTTGCTAGAGTATAAAATAGTTCATTATACTCAGGGAAATACCTTACTTAACAATTACTGAAGGCTACAGATAAATAGTTAGGTGAAGAGGCAGATGCCTATGGATGTGGTGGAAGGGTCTTGAACGCAGGGATTTTTGTCCCAGTGGAGCTGGGATGTACCACCCTCCCAGCATACTGATGAACACCTGGACTCTCTCTGAGCCCCATAGTTCAGGTTTTTTTTTTTTTTTAAATTAAGATGTCACCACATAAGAGTAATCAATTATAAACTGTTTTTGGCCTATTGCATCTCCACTCAATAGAGGGTGGGACTGAGA